CCAAGACAAGTGTGGTTGTAGCTTTAGCAACAGGCATCCTCTGAGGGCAGGACAATATGGCACCATCGCTGAAGTGATTTGCAATCTGAAAAAGGTACAGTGCCCCTTTCTTTGAAGGCAGCTGAACAGGCAGTGGACCGATGGCTTCTGGTATACAGTGGAACAGTAGCTGAAATAGTTATTCTTGAAAGAGTAACTAGGCTAACAGAGTCTAACCTCTCAATGGTAGACTGGCATTTAATAAAAGAGATAAAGCTACCCACAAACTGAGAAGAAAGGTATGCGGAGAAGAATGGGATGCCGAGATGAAGCCACCCACAAGCCAAGAGAAATGTACAGCTGAATTCCAAAAACACCAACAATTTCCAGAACTTAAAATCCTGAATCATGACAGGACATTGATGGAATTCAGGTTTATCTGGTACATGGAGTGCTCTCACCCAATGTGAGGTTGAACTGTTGGCCTTGTGTACATCCTACTTCACATATAAGTCTGTCAGATACGCTAAGCCTATAGGCTGAAGATGGTGCCCCAACACTGCGGAGAAACCTTGGGTGACCGTCCAGGCAGCTGGCTGTTTTTGTCAACTCACATTTTTTTTTTTTTTTGGAAGCCTCTTGCTTGTACTTCCTGTTTTATTAGGTAATATTATTTCCTTCTTGGGTCTCTGAGGGAGTTGAAGATTAGATAGTTATGGTATAGTAATTTAGTTGAAAATTAATAGTTATAGATTTCCTTGTTAAGAATTTCAGAAAAGAAACTCACTAAAGGGGTGTAAGTGTATAAAATTGAAAGACATTATAAAATAGTTCTCTGTTAGTAATATAAGATAGAATAGAAAGTACATCAGGTATATTTTAGACTTACTAAAATAGGATAGATAATGGAATACTTTCTTTGAGTTTGTCAAATGCAAATGGACTAGACATTGTATAGGTATTTATTGATTGTATATATTGTATATAGTTAGTGTACTTATTGTATATAGTTTTTCTTATATTAGTTGTAACTTTTTTTCCTTTTTCCTTTTTATTAGAATAGAAAGGGGAAATATGGTGATATTTTATTTGTGCTGAAATGTGATTTTATTTGTATGTTAATAAATAAAGTTGCCTGGAGATCAGAGGTCAAAGCAAGCCATAAGCAGAGTCAAGCAGTGGTAGCACATTCCCTTAATCTGATCACATGGCAGGCAGAGTCTCTGTGTGGTCAAGGACATAGCCAAGGTGACACGAGCCTTTAATCCCAGTACCAAACATAGAGACCTGGAGGTCTGTATAGACAGGCAGTGATGAGGAAATCATGTGGTTAAGCTTAGAGCCAATGAGAAGGCAGAACAGGAAGACAGTAAAAGCGAAGGTTAGGCAGGAAGAGGTCTCTGTCTCAGGGAAGCTACGTGGTGGGAAGCTAAGCTAAGCTAGTCGTGGCTCTGGCTCTGATCTCTTTGGCTATTAACTCTGGCTCTGTGCTCCCTATTTCATAAGACTGTTTAGAAATTCGTCTACATTCCACTTTGAAAGGTGTGTTTTTAAAAATAATAATAATGTAAAATATTTGAAGTAAATGGAATATTTTTAAAATTTTCTGAAAGTATTCAAATTTATTTCTAACATAAAATCTACAGGTTGAGCCTCCCTAATCGCAAAGTCCAAAATTCAAATATCGCCTACATCTGAAGGTGTTTGAGAGCCGTCATGATGCAACAAGTGGGAAGTGTCTGCATCTGAGGCCATGTGACGAGTCAGTCAGAACGCAAGCACACCACAAATACGGCACAAAAGGACCCTCAGCCTGTGCTGTAAGGTAGATATGAAACAGGGAATCTGAATAGGGCAATTCAATGTATATTATTTTGTTATCATTTTATGAAATGACAAAGTTGCTATTAGTAAAATTATTATTTTAAGCTTTTTATTTGATAGAATCAATGGTGTAATTTTAAAGGATTCTTACAAGTTTATTTTTTAATTTGTTTTGCCTGTGGGTTTGTCATTTTTATTTGCTTTGATTGTGATACTAAACTGACCACTGTCATAGTGTTGTTGGAGAAATGTTTGGAAGAAAGTTACATTAAACATAAGCCTGGTCATTTGACCATATGAATGAGTATGAGCCTGGACATGGTCGGTTTTCTTTTTTAAAAACATTTTTTTTCTTTTTAGAGTATTTATTCTCTTTTTTGTGTATGAATGTTTTGCTTGCATACATGTCTGAGTATCACATATGTCTCTAGTGCCCTTGGAAGTCAGAAGAGAGTGACAGATTCCCTGGAGTTATGGATGGTTGTGAGCTGACATGTGGGTGTTGGGAACTGAACCTGGGTCCTCTGAAAGAGCAGTTAGTACTCTTAACCACTGCGACATCTCTCCAGCCCCAGATGTTTCTTTTTAAAAAATCCCAGTTGTATGTTTCAGAATTAAGAAGGTTATGTAACCTTTGGAGATGAAAAGTTAAAGTTTAGTATTTTTAAAAAAATTATCTTAGCTGGGCGGTGGTGGCGCACGCCTTTAATCCCAGCACTCGGGAGGCAGAGCCAGGCGAATCTCCGTGAGTTCGAGGCCAGCCTGGTCTCCAAAGAGAGTTCCAGGAAAGGCGCAAAGCTACACAGAGAAACCCTGTCTCGAAAAAACAAAAACAAAAACAAAAACAAAAAATACAAAAACAAAAACAAAAACCAAAAAACAAAAAATTATCTTAATTTTTTTAGTTCCAGCTGTTTCTTAGGCTGCTTTGTTTGTATTTAATATTTGTATTTTTTTTAACCGCAGTCACTTGCAGCCTGTGCCTCAATCCCTCGAGGAGCTTCCATTACACAGTGTAATTAAATGGACATAAATTGCTGTCTGTGTTTTTTGTTTGTTTTTGTTCCTTTCTCAACATGTTAGTGAGGGAGATGGCAGCTTGGAAAACAGCAGATGTGTAATGGAAGATGCAGATAATTCACAGAAGGGACAAAGACTAATTGGTTGGATGATTTTTTTTTTTACTCTTCTGTTTTCGAATGTGAAAGGTAATTCTAGGGGTACATGCCAGTTAAAATCTCAAGTATAGATCAGTTTCCTGCACTTACTAGCCATATTTCATCTAATATTTGTAGCAAATGGTTGTTATTTTATTTTTTTATTTTTAATTTTGGTTTTTTGAGACAGCATTTCTCTGTGAAATCCTGGCTGTCCTAGAACTCACTGTGTAGACCAGCCTGGTCTTGATCTCAGAGATCCATCTGCTTCTGCTTCCTGAGTGCTGGGATTAAAGGTGTGTGCCACCACTGCCCAGCTTTTTTTAGGATTTTATTTATGGCAATAGCAGAAGTTTTCCCACCTTGTTTTTATCATGCTATGTTTTATTTTATTTTTATTGTGGTGCTGAGGATTATACTTACGGCCAAGTACCTGCTAGTCGCCAGCCCTGTCACTGTGCTACAATCCCAGCTCCCAAAGCCGGGCCTTACTGTGTAGCCAGACTGACTCAAACTTGAGCTGCTCCTGTCACAGGCCCGCCAGGGTTAGGACTGCAGATGCAC